AAAAGGATTTGCAGTCTACCCATCTGACAAAGGGCTGATATCCAGAATTTACAAAGAACTAAAACAGATTTACAAGATAAAAACAAACAAGCCCATTCAAAAGTGGGCAAAGGATATGAACAGACACTTTACAAAAGAAGACATACGTGAGGCCAACAAACATATGAAAAAATGCTCATCATCACTGGTCATTAGAGAAATGCAAAGCAAAACTACATTGAGATACCATCTCACACCCGTTAGAATGGCGGTCATTAAAAAATCTGGTGACAACAGATGCTGGACAAGATGTGGAGAAATAGGAACATTTTTACACTGTTGGTGGGAGTGTAAATTAGTTCAACCATTGTGGAAGACAGTGTGGAGATTCCTCAAGGACCTAGAAATAGAAATTCCATTTGACCCAGCAATCCCATTACTGGGTATATATCAAAAAAAATTATAAATCATTCTACTATAAGGACACATGCACACGAATGTTCATTGCAGCACTGTTCACAATACCAAAGACCTGGAACCAACCCAAATGCCCATCGATGATAGACTGGACAGGGAAAATGTGGCACATATACACTATTGAATACTATGCAGCTATCAAAAACAATGAGTTCATATCCTTTGTAGGGACTTGGATGAACCCGGAAACCATCATTCTCAGCAAACTGACACAAGAACAGAAAATCAAACACCGCGTGTTCTCATTTATAGGCGGGTGTTGAACAATGAGAACACATGGACCCAGGGAGGGGAGCATCACACACTGGTTCTGTCGGGGGGAAATAGGGGAGGGACAGTGGGGGGTGGGAAGTTGGGGAGAGATAGCATGGGGAGAAATGCCAGATATAGGTGAAGGGGAGGAAGGCAGCAAATCATGCTGCCATGTGTGTACCTATGCAACAATCTTGCATGTTCTTTACATGTAACCCAAAACAAAAAGATTGGAACAGAATTAAAATTCTTTCCAAAATTAAAAAAAGAACTGATAGAAACATGTAAGTAATGAAATATAATGAAACATTGATCTATGTGCCTATTTTTGTATGAGTACCATGCTGTTTTAGTGACTATGCCCATATGGTATAGTTTGAAATTAGGTAGTGTGGTGCCTCCAGATTTGATCTTTTTGCTTAGTCTTGCTTTGGCTATGAGGGCTCTCTTTTTCTTCCATATGAATTTTAGAAGTTGTTTTCTAATTCTGTGAAGGATGATGGTGGTATTTAATGGAGATTATGTTGAATTTGTAGACTGCTTTTGGCAATATGGTCATTTTCATATAGACCAATGAAACAGAATAGAGAACCGATAAATAAACCCAAATACTTACAGCCAACTGATCTTCAACAAAGAAAACAGAAACATAAACTGGGGAAAGAATACTCTTTTCTACAAATGGTGTGGGGATAATTAGCTAGCTACATGTAGGAGAATGAAATTTTATCCTCATCTCTCAACTTATAAAAAATAAAGTCAAATGGATTAAGGGCTTAAATCTAAGATCTGAAACTATGAAAATTCTAGAAGACAACATTAGAAAAATCCTTCTAGACATTCGTTTAGGCAAGGATTTCATGATCAAGAGCACAAAAGCAAATGCAATAGAAACAAAGATAAATAGCTGGAACCACGGCAAAAGGAACAGTCAGCAGAGTAAACACACAACTCAGAGTGGGAGAAAATTTTAACAATCTATTCATATGACAAAGGACTAATATCCAGAATCTACAATGAACTCAAACAAATCGGTAATAGGAAAACAATCCCATCAAAAAGGGGGCTAAGGACATAAATAGACAATTCTAAAAAGAAGATATACAAATGACCAACAAACAGATGAAAAAATGCTCAACATCACTAATGATCAGGGAAATGCAAATCAAAATCACAATGTGATACCACCTTCCTCCTGAAAGAATGGCCATAATCAAAAAATCATAAAACAGTAGATGCTGGCATGGATGCAGTGAACAGGGAACACTTCTACACTGCTAGTGAGGATGTAACCTAGTCCACCCGCTATGGAAAACAATGTGGAGATTCCTTAAAGAACTAAAAATAGAACTACCAATTGATCCAGCAATCCCACTGCTGGGTATCTACCCAGAAAAAAAAAAGTCATTGTTCAAAAAAGACACTTGTGAACACATGTTTATAGCAGTACAATTCACAATTGCAAAATCAAGAACCAACCCAAATGCCCATCAATCAATGAGTGGATAAATAAACTGTGGTATATATATGATGGAATACTATGCAGACATAGAAAGGAGTGAATTAACAGCATTTGCAGTGACCTGGATGAGATTGGAGATGATTATTCTAAGTGAAGTGACTCAGGAATTTAAAACCAAACATCATATGTTCTCACCGATAAGTGGGAGCTAAGCTATGAAGATGCAGAAGCATAAGAATGATACAGTGGACTTTGGGGATGAGCGGAAGGGAGGTGAGGGATAAAAGACTACAAATAGAATGTAGTATATACTGCTCAGGTGATGGGTGCACCAAAATCTCACAAATCACCGTCCAAGGACTTACTCATGTAACCAAATACCACTTGTACCCCAATAACTTATGGATAAACAATTAAAAAATAAAAGAAAAAAGAAAATTTAATGACACACTGAGGCAATAAGTAAAGCATTCTTTATTTTTCCATCGGTTGCTTTCTCTAGAGAAGCTAGATAAGATGGAGAGAAAGTGGAATATCTCAGTCATCACCATAAAAAGTATATGGATCCAAATATTGTTTATCTAAGCCAAACAACTCATAGTACAGTGATCAAATAAAGCAGAAGGGATCAGAGAAAATTATAGTTAAAATTAATTATTAAAGTGCATATTACAGAGTTATTTTGGTGTTGCTGCTTTTTTTTTTCTTCAACTTCTCCTGGCCTCCATAAGTATTCTAAGTAACCAAATGGATCCTGAAGAACATTCCAACCATTTATAAAGTACAATGATTATGAAAGAAGCAGTCTAAAGGACATAAATTAAATTTCCCAAGTCTCTATTATTTTGTTCTCTCTTAACATGACTTTAAGTGTGGCTAAGAATTTCACCGACGTGCAACATTAACGGGAAAATATCTAATCAAGAGAGTTAATTGTATAAAAATGCTTGTTTAAGAAACCTGATTATTAGGCTTCCTGCAGTTAATACAAAATTATACTTGGCTGTTGCAAGTGACCCAAATGTTCAGGAAAAAAGTTATTTCTGATTCGACTGACTTTTCCACTGTGTTTTTCTTTATTCAAATCAAATGGACCTTGTAGAATTAGAATAAATGACAAGGATGTAGACCCAGCCTTTGACCTGTAGAGCAATGTATCTACAGTTGGATTTGCATTACAGCAATGACATTAACTATCAAGGTCATGTAAGGTGAGTGATTTAACAGCTTTGCAGCTCAGTTTGCTTATCTCTACCAGAGGACATACAGTGTCAAATATCATTTCAGAGCTTGCTGTGTGCTGACCACCAGTTAAGCATTTTCACGGTATTCTGGCGAGGCAGGAATTATGTTCTGCCCTCCTCCACTCTCCCACAACACTTACTCTATTTATCAGAAAACCCTATTGGATCTTCCTTCCAAATATCTAGAATCTCATTGTTTCTCACCTTTATCACTGCTATCCTTGTCCAAACTAACATCATCTTTTACCTGGAGTCTCCTTGTCCTTGTCCCATTGGGTTTATTTTCAACATAACAGCCAAAATGATCCTGTTAAAAGATATCAGATTGTGTCATCTCCTTCTCCAAATCCTCACAGGATTTCTCAGATCACTTTGTGTAAAAGTCAAATATCTTGCACAAAAATTGTCAACCTCGATTTGGTTGAGTGGATTTTATGTATTTTAGGTCCTCTGTATCTGTGGCTTCTACATCCCCGGATTCAACTAACCATGGATAGAAAATATAGGAAAAAAATCTAAGTCCTACTGAACATGTATAGTGAACATGTATAGACTTTTTTCTCTTTATTCCTAAACAGTACAGTATAGCAACCATGGATACCAAGGGATGATGTGTATAAATTACATATGTGTGTCTCAAAAAGCAACTTGCCAAATTATAGACTTTTTAATTACATAATAAATTCCTTGCATATAATTCTTATAAGAAAAATCCATATATTATTTACATGACAAAAAATGTGCAAAATTCTAAAATTTGCCTGTGAAGTCTTTCTAGTGATGAATACCTTGCTATATTCAAGCAAAATCTGCCTGGTACATCATGTCAGTTGGTTTCAGTATATTATGTGTTAAGAATAGGGCTCCAGAGTTCTCAGTTCTAGAGGTTGCCAGTGTGGCAAGAAAGAGTAAAATGTTACATAAGAAATTTCTTACCCAAAATTATTATAGGAAAACGAGTATATTATTTACAAACACACACACACAAAAGTGCAACATTTTGTAATTTGCCTCTAAATTCTAACGTGAGCCAAGTTACAGAGGCAAGGAGAGTTTGATGAGTGATTAGTGGCTATTTACATACCTACTATGTCTGCTACTTAGTGACATTCTCTTCTTAGACAAATCACAGGATCTCCCTAAATGACGTTTCTTTCCTTAATATAGGGGTAATAATAGTACTTCTTATCTCACAATGTTGTTAAGTGAATCAGAGATAATTAGCAGGAAAGCCTGGGCAATTATAAGTAAAATATATGTTTTAATTTTCTTTTTTAAAGGATATACTATTGTTTAAAGAGATAGGAACAGTGTATACAATCAATAGCAATTCTGATCGTAATACAATAATTGAGAACATACAAGAAAACACAATCATGGAGAATAAACTTTCATTGTTTATGTTATGTATCAATGTAGGTAATCTATATTAAGCAAAATGTTATAATTAGTCTGTGCCTTAGATGATTTATAGATTCTTCACTCAAATCTTCAAGGATTTCTAGCTAATAAGGTCATCTCAAAGATAAAATGATAAAATAAATTTTCTTTCAAAAACTGACTCAAACAACTAGGATAGAAATAAAGTATTCACCTGGCAGGGGAGATACCATGATCACGAAGGTGGTTTTCCCAGGGCGAGGCCTATCCATTGCACCCTGGATGTGCTGACACCTGCGATCTCCCCAAACGTGGAAAACTCGACTGCATAATTTGTGGTAGTGGGGGGACTGTGTTAGAGATTTCCCCTGATTAGATCAAACAAACAAAAAAGAAAATAAGATATTCAAGAAAATTGTAGTATTTCACTCAATATTTTATTAAATGCCAAGAAAACAAAATAAAAATATTATAGAAAGACACAGTTTAATACATCTTCTGATATTATTATTCACAAAAGCATTTAATATGTAATTTTTTCTTTTAAATCCTTTGTGGTAATGATTATGAGTTTCTTGCCTTAGTTTACTAAATTAAGATTCCCAATAGCCAACCAAACATAATTTTCCAGTTGAAAATGTTAATCAAATTAAATGTTTTCATTAACAGCAAAGTGAAATCAGCTAGTACTTACAGAGCATTCATATATATGGTGAACTAGATTTCTGGAGGATAAAATAAAAGGAATAAATAATAAATTATATTCTCAAATCATAATATATGAGTGAGCTGTAATATGAAAATAACCTCAGAAAGTTGCAAAAAGGAAAGTTACTAAACTTAGTCAATAGAGATTAAGTCAATTCTGCCTTTATCTTAAAGGCAGAAAAATATGACATTTACTGAGACAGGAGTTGAATAAGTGAATTAGGCTAGCATAATGACTTTGAGAAAGGCAGTGTTGGGAGGTAAATCACAGTAGGTTGCTTGGGACAATATTGTTTAGAATTTGGAGTATAAGGTTTAGATGTTTTAACTTCATGCTGTTATCAAAATGGAAAGTTGCTTAAACATTTTGAGAAGGGTTAAAGTTTTGTCAGAGTAATGGTAAAAAAAAAAAAATTGAGACAGAAATGCCAATTAATATCAGTTAAATGGATTTTCTCTTTCTTTTTTAAAAGTGTGAATTAGACATATCTAACCTATGTCATAACTACAGTGGTATTAGCAGGAAGAAAATAAAATATGCATGTGAGAAATCCTGAGGAAACAGACTCATTGGGATTTAGGAACACAGCCATTAAGAGAGAAGACAGAATTCACCATTAATGAATGAAAGCTTTTAACTTCAGGCAGTTTTGAGAGTTATCAAAGAAGATAAAGTCTTTGAGGATGTAATAGAGTCTAGGAGAGTATTTTTAAAAACTTGCTGGGTTTAAAGTAGCAGAACATTTAAGTGGAAATATCCAGAGAGTCATTACAAACCCAGAAAATACACACTAAAGCATCGGAAAGAATCTAGACTAAAAAGAATAATTTAAGGGCCTGGGGCACAGAAGTGAGAGTTGAGGCTATGAACCTGACTGTGGTTTCTAAAAGAAAGCTAACAAAGAGAATCTTCCCCAAGGAAAGCCTGGACGATGTCTAATCATTGTCTATGGAAATTTGGAGAGAAATCAAGCAGAGTTAAGGGATATAATCCAGATGAAAGCAGAAGAAAACCAGATTATAATGTGTTAAGGAATTGGTAATTGATGAGCAAATGAGGGAAGAAAATGCATTATGCTTTCTAGAATGTTTGCAAATCAAGCTTTTAATCATACAATTATTAAATCGCTTTTATACAACCAGAAATTGGAAATGTCACTAAAGGCTGGATTACATACAGCCAGCCGTATGCTCTGACTACTGGAGTAGGGTTGAAGGGAGAGAATGGGAGTAACAAATGACACGAGAATCCATGTAAGGAGATCCAGCCTAGTATGTGATGGTCATGGTAGGCAGTGACTGTCAAGAAATGGCGGTGGATATAAGAAAAGGAAGAGCTGGGGAAGACAAGCAGCTCAGGTAAGAGAGAAAGATTATGAAATGGCTGGAAAATGGAACACATCAGGACCCTGGAAAGGAAAATACTGTGAAAGGTTGGTGAGAAATCAGGAAAGTGATGAGAGGTAAGGCTTAAAAGGAAATCATGTCCTTGAAAGTATTGCTAAGAAATTATAACTTTCCCTTGAGTGCACTGACTAATGGGGTTCTAAGTAGGAAACTGATGTTTATCCCAATCACAAGATTAGCCTTGCTATTCCCTTAGTTTATGAAAAAGGACAAAGTCAAAGAAAAGGAATGAAATCAAATGCCAATCAAGGGACAATAATCACTGTTTATTTTTTCTAGTTTTGAATTTTCTCATGCCTCTGAGCATGGAAATTATGAACCTCATAAATATGATAATCTTTAGGTTCATATTATTGCCTACCTTTAATTAGTTAGAAAAAAAAAACATTTAAGTGGTCTCTATAATTAAAATATGAACAACTTTAAAACTGCTGTGATGATTATTCATCATACAAAGGACTCTAATTTGGATGCAAGGCCCTAACTAGTATGACTCGGAGCAAGCCAACGGGAAGGAACAAGAAGGAGCTTTGCTCAACAGAAAGATAAACAACTAATAGTAGCTTCCAGTCACACAGATACTAAAGGTAATCATTTTCTTCATTTGAAGATATCAAATAATTTCTCCATAGTAGTAGAGAAAATTCTGTTGCTGGAATATATCACAAGTAAAAGTTGACTATGGTGCAAAATAACCAATCACTTGGAAATCAATTGCCTATACAGCTAGCTAATAAAAAAGAAACAAACACGTTTTCCATTTAATTATGTCACTAGTTTATGCTTCAGAGTTCAAAAAAGCATTTTTTTTTTTTTTTTTTTGAGACAGAGTTTCACTCTGTCACCAGGCGCCAGGCTGGAGTGCAGTGGCGCGACCTTGGCTCACTGCAACCTCCGCCTCCCGGGTTCAAGCAATTCTCCTGCCTCAGCCTCCCGAATACCTGGGACTACAGGCACGCGCCACCACACCCAGCTAATTTTTTTTGTATTTTTAATAAAGACGGGGTTTCACCATGTTGGCCAGGATGGTCTGGGTCTCTTGACCTCGTGATCCGCCCAACTCGGCCTCTCAAAGTGCTGGGATTACAGGCGTGAGCCACTGCGCCCGGCCTTAAAAAGCACCTTTAAATTTTGTGTAATAAAACTAAATACATCAATGTACCCATGCTATATATTTTCTTGGTACGTTCTAGACAATGTACTAATATCTATAATTTTCAAGAATTACTGGCTGGGGATGGGGAAAGAGAGAGGGAAATCAGTTATCAAAATAAAAACTTGAACAAACAAACTTTTTAAAATTACTGAGAGCTGGTTATTAGGGAATTGGTTTATTGAACTGAATTATCACATTTAAAATTCGTGACCCAAAACTGTTGCTCTTCTTAGCTGTACAATTGACACCCACCAGCATGGTGTGTGTTGGAAGTAGAAATGCCTTTTTTAAGATCTGTTAATTTAACTTATGTATATTAATTGGCTGAAACATGAAGAGTACAGAATTTTACCATTTGAATGTCTTTATTAACTGGAAAGTCAGGTGTTGAAATACTTTTAAATCCTATTAATCTGTTCTCTGCTGGTGTAATGTGGGCAGAATCTCACCTGTTAATTATATTGTGCATAAAAAATAGAAAAATTTAGTTGAAAGAAATAAAATACCCTATATCAGTACTTCTTTGCCTATAAACCTATGCCCACAGAGAAATACAGCTTTTGCTATCGCAAAACCAGCCTTGTCCTAGTCACAATCCCATAGTCACAAATGATTATGACAGTTATTTCCTTTGGCAAGATACTGCTTTATACTGTAAGTAAATAAATATTCTTGTTACTCTACCATCAGCACTCACCATTATGAAACTACTAAAGATATCTATACAGACGCTCTGTAGAAAATCATAACAAACCTCAGTTCTTGTCATTTTAAAGTAACTTTCAAAAACAGTGTTCTGATACCGCTTAATGTACAATTCAGAATTGCTGTTTTTTTAGATTATACGTGTTTACAAAATATTTCTAAAGAAATAATTAATCTAAAAAACAGCAATACTCCTGACGCCTTACCCTACTGTAAGAATGTAAAATTAAAAGACTTAGTTTCAACTCATAAGCTATTCCTAAAATTTATAATAATAATTGCTTGTGAGAGACTGTGGTATCACAAATAATATTTCATAGACCTGAGTCTTCAAATATGTTAGAGATACAGAAATCTGCCCTCTAGTTAAATACCCCATTTATGTACCTACACCTTTGCTATGGATTTTAAACACCAAAAGATACTTCTACAATTTCTTTTCTAATTTATATTTATCAAACTAATGTTGAAAATCACTACCTATATTTCTGAAAAGCATATGTATCATCTTACAGTTTTTTATTTCTAGATTTTAATGTTCTTGAGAACCTTCTGGGCATTGTAAAAGTAGATGTAAATTTTGCTTGAAAGTACAGTTTGTTGAAAGGTGAAATGAAGATATTAATTCTTATCTCAAATATAAACAACTGGAAAAATACAAGATAACATTTATGAAATAATTATGATTCAGTAAGTATTTTAATAAATAATGAGGACAAAAAACCAATAGTATAAGTATAGAACATTCTGATTTAAACTGATATGAAGGGTCTTCAGAAAATATTTAAGGACTGACTGAACAAAAATAAATTCAATAAAAATAAAAGAAATAGTCATTTAGGAATTAAGTGAGGGAGGAATGGCACAAAAGGAAAGGCTGGCGATCAGTTTGCAGCTGAGCTGTCACTGCTGAGTGTTAGTGACTTGAGTTATAGTCATCAATAAGGCAGACTATTTGGTGCATGCCTGAAATAGAGGCCAGGTACAATCAAGCCAAAAAGACATCCATCATGGTTTCAATACCCAGAGACTCTGTGCTGTAAGTTACGTCTGTCTCAAACTGCAAGGATAAAAAGCTTAACAGCCCTAGGAGAAAATATTGCCACATGTAGAAATGGTTCAGGAAGAAGCCTCCATTTGTTGGAGGTATTGGCAAAATGCTTGCAACTCATGCAGATGAGGAACAAGAAGAAGTCAGAGAAGTCTTAAAAATGGAAACTGTAGCAAGATGAAAAGAATTCAGGATAATATATTGGAAGACAAAGAGAGTTTGTCTTATGATGAAAAGCATGAACTCTACAAATAAATAAAGGCTTATGGGACCTTCAAAATAGACCCAAGGACTCTTCTGCCTGGAAACCCTAACTTGCTAACACCGTCTGTTCACCAAACAAA